AAAGACATCGGAAAAAATAAGGTTTAGAAATTCTCTTATAGTTTCAATACACATACAGTTGGAATACATTACCCGACTCAAATTTATAGGAGCATGCCCCATATAGTATGCGGGCCTCATGTGGCTAACGAGGGGCAAGCCGATATAGGGATTTCCCCGTAGATTCCTAATGAAAATCCCATCAAAAAGAACTGGTGATACTAAAATGAGGATTGCCTTTTATGTTTTTCATATAGGTCTTAAGGGGCAAATCTATCACATGTATAAACTTACAATTAAATCTACCTTGTGGGGGCTCGATGAAGCAAATCCGTTTGAAAGTACTCTCGGTAAAATGAAAAAAATTATAATAATAATCTCCTTGCCCAATTACGTCGTCGTTTCAATGAAATCTTTTACATTGCAACGAACCAACAAGTGTACTCCTGATATTGTTATTATAAGGCAACAGAAACCAGACGCATTAGGTCGAAAAACAGTAAAACGATTGCAATTTAAAGTATTGTCCACTACAAAACATCCCAATAAAACAATGTTACGGGCAAACAAATTTTACAAATAAGTGCAATTTTTTCATTAATAATAAAGTTCATTTTATTCAAAAACTTTTGATGGAGTAGCAATCACTTTTCCCTGCGGGGGGCACATGCGGCATTCCTGATGATGCACAAATGCGGCAAGGCGTTATATGCCCCTTCCTTTCCCTAAGGGGCAACCTCACGGGACCCACAAGAGGTAGTGTGACAACCTACTTAAGTACCCTACCTGCGCTCCTCTTAAAATTCTAGCCGGTACCAGTCTTAGGGTTGACGATCTTATTATGAAGATGATTAGTATATACAGAATTCAAAGTCAAGTTTGGGACAATACCTACGTTTCACCTGAGGAAGCTTTACCTATTAAATGCAAAACTTATTACATATTATCTACACTGATTTTTTCCCTCAACTTAGCTTTGGATTCTGTAAAATCAAGCAAACTTTATGATGAGAATAACGCACACAAACCAACATGTGCTTATTATACATGCACGTATAATATTAACGTAAATACAGCTTGTCGTAAAAGTGAAATCATCACCGATTACGTTGTTAACACAACCATATACCAGATGCAACACTCCATATAATACAATATTTGACCCCTGACCCCGCAATCCATGATGGCGTTAACTTTCCGCTTAAGTGAAGAACTCGTTATTCATACGTAGTCATGTGTGGAGAAGAAAGAACCGTGGTTGACCTATGACATACGTGCGTCATCCTTAATAGTTTTCAATGTGCACTATTATTGTAACTGTTCATATGTGTATGTCCACGTGTACCATATAAAGGTATGATAATAAAAAATACACACTTTGTCTAATAAGAGTCATGGAGTATCAGTTATGGAGTATATAATTGATTTAGACGGAGGTTGTAAATGACACAACCAGTTTAATTTACTTGGATAATGTCAAAATCATCATCATCATAAGGTCGTCAGTCCTAAGACTGGTTGGACACGCACTTCCACTCTTTCCTATCCTGAGCTAATCTTCGCATTTCCCCAAAACCAGAACAAGCTACATACCTAACCATTTGCGAACAGTAATCTACTCTAAGTCTACCTCTACTCCTCTTTAATCCTGTTTCTGCCTCAAATATGTCTCTGACTAGACCTTCATACCTTGAAAAGATCTATCTCGCCTATTCCTTATTGACTTCTATAGAGTAGTCTATTCTCCTATTCTTTCTAATACCCCTTCATTTCTAACCTTTTCTATCCACGGTATCCTCATCGTTCGCCTGTAACACCACATTTAGAACGCTTCTAACCTTTTCTTTTCCGCATGTTTAGCACCCATACAGCGCCACGCTCCAACCATTAACCTTTAACAATCTTTTTAGAATTTCTAAATTAACCGTTCGCAAGCATCGAAGTCAACTTAAAATAACATGAAATTCATATTATAGAGAAACCGTTAATAATTTGAAATGTAACAGAAAAGTTTAAGTTTAAGTCAATTTTAAACCGAGATGATCCATCAACGCAAGTGAGGAATACGTTAAAAGAATACTTCGTAAAACAAAAAAACAAAGAACAATAATAAATAATACGTAACGTTACACTTTATTTGTATTTGCGATGGAAGAACATGCTAGCTAACTGTTCTATTGTATTTGCCTTTTACCACAGGATTGTATAATGAAAATTGAGCTACATTTGAATCGTTTCAGAAAAATATTATCAGAACATTATGCTTGCAGATAGCGACAGCTGGTGTACGGTTGATGCAGAGATACAGAACAACCAAAGCATAGATATTTATGATATTGTAACCTAATTATTAAAATTTAACAATATAATAATTTACTGTAACTACACCATACATTACGCTGATTTGCCGGCCGTCTCAATTGAAGACCAAACGATTTGGAAGAGATTTTGTTTAGCTCAATTTCCCTCCTAGTTGCTTTACGGTTTGCATTTCTTGTTTGACCTTTACGTTCCCGGAGTTTCTACTACCGCCTAACAGACATTATTATGTGGTGCATTTGGCGCCTTACCAAAACCAGACTGCGGGGAGTCCTAGACCATGACGCGCGATTAAAACGATTGATTATTCTGGTGCGCGGACGGCGCAAGCTAGTCATGTTACGACTTTTGAAATTTGCAAACCTATGTAGAGTGAGTAACGTGCCACGTCATAGTGCCTTTAGTAACTACTACCTGTGGAATCTAAGACAAAACTAGCAAAATCATTACTCCATAGTCCATACAGTTCATATGAATATACCCTTAGTAATCCACGTGTTACCTGGCAAGGGGATAAGTGAGCTTTCATTTTTTTCTCCTGCAGGGTGCACAAACAAGATCTTTGAACGAGCGCGTCGCGGGATCCTTTATTGTATTGTTGAACTGGGCACTTCGGGTTCTGGGCACAAGTTTTGTTCTGCACCGGTCCCCTAAGTAGCTAGGTTTGCTAATATAAAGCTGTGAATTTGGACGGATCAGTGAACTGTATTCAACCCAAAACTTTGGTAGGCGCAAAATTTAGAACAAAGCTATCTGTTATTTATTTTAGAAATAATTGTAGATATTTAAACGGTGCATTACTCCTTTTGGAGTTTTTAACACAAAATAGTTTAACCGAAACCTTACGGGAAGCAAACAAATCATTAGGAATTGTCGTAGCAACACCCACGACAACATCAGAAACTNTATCTGTTATTTATTTTAGAAATAATTGTAGATATTTAAACGGTGCATTACTCCTTTTGGAGTTTTTAACACAAAATAGTTTAACCGAAACCTTACGGGAAGCAAACAAATCATTAGGAATTGTCGTAGCAACACCCACGACAACATCAGAAACTGAAAGACGCTTTTCAACTTTCTCCCTCTTTCTCTCCTTCGAAATTGCACAGTCCAGGACCGTCTGACTGCTTTTGATGATGATTTCATTAAAACTATGGAGACTTGGGCTGGTCGTGACATTTTTTTTTATAAAGTGTCACAATTTTTTGTTTGATTGTTTTACCGGAATGTAGGTTTGTTTGATTAAGTAACTATTTGGGTTATTAATTTAAAAAAATTTAGATACCGGACTATTAGAAGTGACATAAATAAATAAATTCTGGGAAAAGAGACGTGTAATTTTAGCCTCGTGTCAGGGGCTGGTTGTTACACTATAAGGGGCAAAATGTTACAACAAAAACCAAACGTAATGTGACACTTTTTATTAAGAACAATGTCAGTTTATTACAATTATTATGACTACAACGTCAAACTACAATGTCTGTATAACAATCTTTTGCGTCATTAAAACAAAAACATAGTAACTTCGTTAAATAAAATTATAATCTTATTTTTTGGTCTTACGCCTCATAAAAATAAAATTTAAGTAACTTCCAACCCGGTAGAAAATTATAAATTTCTTTATTAAACAAAAACTTAGTATGAATTAACAAAACATATATTATGCCTCATCACATGAACAAAAAGAAATAAAGTCGTTTTTTTAAAAACAATCAGATCCTAAAAGCTAAAAAACAGTTCAATCAGTATAGTCTGAACGATTATTATCGCAATTCAAACATATGTAGGATAAAACATTTCGCTCAGCACACCTTACGCGCGATCATTTCTTACAAGCAACACACTGTACCCATTCCTCACCAGCTCCACAGCACCACTTTGATCAAACGGTTCACAATATATCAAAAATAATCATCTATACTTTCTTCGTCAGACTCAGAATCATTTAAAATCTTCCTTTTTACAGCCTTCTTCCTTGTTTCCTTAAGTGTTTTTTCACTCTTCATCTTTCCTGGCTCAGTTGACTTCCCTTTCTTAGTTACCTTTCCTTTTTTTGATGTAATTTCATTTTTCTTGCTCTGTTCCTGTACACTAGTACGGGGCAGGTAGTAACAAATAACAACCTGCCCCGAGAAAATGTCACTTTTAGCCACAACACCAAAACTGACCCTTCAAGGTTAAGTAGTAAAACCGCAAATAAGTATAACTGTATAAACGTCGATTCGTTGCAAAAAGTAAGGATTAGGGCACAAATATAACAAAATAGCGTTATTTGTTTAGCCACTGTAGCCGCTGTAACTACCTATCCCTGTCACGACCAGCCCCAGTCTCCCCTATGTATATTCAAAATTAATAAGTAAAACGAGAAAATTATAAAAGACAGTAAGACTGAATTAATTTTCAGAAAATGAGTAAGTTAATATTTGCAGGACGCCCAATTTTTTCCACGTTTCCGCAGGAACGAAGGTGTGTGGAACATGATGGTAAAGTCGCTCTCTTTGAGTCAAATAATTTATTGTCAACTTCGACTTTCTCAAATTTCCAACAATACGCACTAACGTTTCGGAACAAATTGAGCCGTTCGGAAATTCGATTTCGTGTAAATAGATTAGCTGTTTGTAAGAATTCGTGGGAAGAAATACTACAATGATTTCATTAATTGTAAGTAAACACGCTCGATTAATTTTATATAACGTAAACGCAGATTATGACAACTAAAAGACTACAAAATTGACAATAATCTTACCTTGAGATGCTACAAATGCTTGATAGAATTGAGAGAGATATGTGAGAATGGAAAGGCGGTCGGGGACGGAGCATTCTACCATGTCCTCCGGTTCTAGAAGGGCTGGGATACCCAAATGACGTTCTGCTGTTCTGAACGCAAGTTCATTGTTGTAGTAAATGTCGTCTTTGTTAAGTTTGGAGAAGTCTCTGTAACGAAATTTTCTCGTTTAGTATTCATATAAAATAGAAATGATTTTGTCGCGCACCAATAGTGTACGTCACATTTATACTAAAACGGATGTAATTTAAATAATAAATTGTTACGTGATTACGCCACTGGGTCACCGGAATAGGAGACACGAATGAATAAATATGAAATAATAGAACTTCGTATAATGAAAAAGTATTCGAAATGCCTGCTGTGTAGATTTTAATGCAAATATGAAAATAGTAAAGAAAGGTACTATTTAATTTCAATTCCTGTTGAGGCTTTATTCACTATTTACAATTGTGGAAGTATTCTTCTATTTTTTATTTGCATTATACCTATTTCAATACTTAGGGTGGCAGAGATCGGTATGGCATCTTCTGGGGTAAAATACTCTGCACGTAAAATAGTCCCCCTTTTGGATCTCCTGAGAGAATAGCTCTGTACGGATGCGAAATGCTGAAGGTGAGCGTGGCGGAAAAGAAAAGGCTAGAAGCATTCGAAATGTGGTGTCATAAACGAATAACGAGGATACCGAGGAAAAAGAAGGTTAGAAACGACGAAGTATTAATAAGGAATGAAGAGGTGAGATAGGTTGGCAGGACACCTTCTATGGCTGAAGGGCTAGTTACAGACATTTTGGAAACAGAAACATGAGTTAAAAGGGATAGAAGTAGTTAAGGATGTAAAAACTTCTAGTTTTAGGGAAATAGTACGAAGATTAGCTGAGAAAGAATGAAAGTGCGTGTACAACCACTCTTAGGAGTTATGATTATGATGATGATGATGATGTACCTATTTAATTAAGAAATTATCTCAAAAATATTTTTGTTATCATGAATTCCTATCCGTGCGGTATTATTTATATTGAACTTTCCATGTCAAGCATAAAATATTTTAAACCTACTAAATCTAGAATATATGAAGTAATTTCCCTGAAGATTTCAAGTTTTTTTTGATGCACCACTCGAAACTTTAAAAAATTAAACATTTGGTTGAGCATTTAATCAGCGAATCACTATAAAATAATCTTCTAATCTAGTGGGTAAGTAATATTAACACTAGCATATGTGCTACGAAGACATTTTAGATGGGTATACGTAGGTACTCCTCCGTCCCAAATGTAGTCGGGTTCAACTAGTGACTATAATTAGTAAAACCACGATATCCGGTTCATAATATGAAGGACGCCGATCAATTTCAACTTGGCTAAAATGCTGTTAAACCTTGCATTTCATGACAACACAAATACATATCCAAACCATTTATGGTATGTTTTTAACATTCACGATCAGGTTATGAATCATATTTTTGCAGATGTATCTACATAGAAAATAGAAAACAATAATTTGTTCACAAACGAAACAAGTATACAGTTTTACTAACGGTCATAAACCAGAAGGCGATATTTTATTACAGTAACACCCTATTATTTATACAGTCAAAGCACTTATTTCGTAGCCACATCGCAATAAATTTTATTGCCTATAAGACATCAAAAGAATGCGAAAAAAGAAAATGAATAAAGAGCATGAAGAAGCTTTATTATGATCGGGTTTATGTTTAGATCGCATTGGCCGCAATATACTCCTATGCATACAGACGCAGTTAATGCCCTTGTCGCAGTAAATACAATAATGCATTCGTAGACAAATTGACATTAACATATTTCCCATACAGTAATATCTAAACAAAGCGCTGTGCGTGAATATTGAACGTAAGCGTTCTGCCAACCATCAATCGCACACGGCATATCTACTTATCTACCCTCGAATGAGTCCTGCATCATAGTTTCCTTGCAGGGGAAAAGGAGGCTTGATAACGGGACTTCCCCGACTTCTATTCGGCTGAATTAGTCATCATACTTTTTGAAACAATGGAAATTTACACTGATTGTGACTTGTAGAGAGAGGCGCGGATAGGTGCGAGACATTTAGAACAATTAGCTTAATTTCTCATGTCTCAAAAATCTTGACTAGAATTGTAAGGAGAAGAAATAGAGGAACGCGGGAGGCCATTCTAGCTTTACGGGTAACAACAGAGAAAACGATAGAAAAAAATCGGTTGTCTGTAAAGTCGGTTTACTGACGATAGTTGAACGTGACAACGTCATAAGAAAATACTGATGCAATGGTTTCATTTTTCAAAAGAAAATTTTAATTTTATTTGTTTGATAGATATTTTGTATGTATATAGAGAAGGAGGTAAATGGAAATGTATTATTGTATAGCAGCTGTCCACGCGGACGCATCTCTCAGTCAAGTAGGAGAGAGACAGATGTCGAACGCTGCCGAACGCGGAGGCCGATTGTGCCTCTTTGTCGCTCGTTCCGCGCTCTCGCTTGCACTTCCAAGCCTTAAATGGAACGCCTCAGAGCGAGGTAACGCCGCATGAGTCATGTTTTTTCGTACGTGCAGCCGGCTCCATCGAATTATAAGACGTTGTCACGTCAAAAGGAAGAGTGCGTACATAGGATTTGTAGATTTAGAAAAATATTTTGACAATGTTAAATGGGGCAAGATGTTAAATATACTTAAAAATGTAGGGATGAGTTACAAAGATAGAAGAGTGATATTTAGTTTGTATAGAGCAACAGGCAGTTATAGAGATGGGGCTGCAACGTAGAGAAGTAAATATTAGGAAGGGAGTCCGACAGGGATGCACACTGTCACCGCTACTTTTTAATCTATACATCGAAGACGCGATCAACATCATTAAAGACAGTACAACTGTAGGGATAGATGTACAAGGGCAAAAGATTAGTATGCTTAGATTTGCAGATGATATAGCAGTATTAGCATCTAGCAAGGAGGACTTAGAGATAGCTTTAAATAAAATGGAAGCGGTACTGACAGATCAGTACTGTATGAAAATAAATAAAAGTAAAACTAAAATACTGGTATGCAAGGGAAGAAAAAGTATTGAATGAGCGAATATAAAGATAGGAGACGAAAAATTAGAAGAAGTGGCCGATTTTAGGTATGTAGGAAGCCATATAAGTAAGGACGGAAGGAGTACTAGGGATATAAAGTAAAGACGATAGTCGCCTGCTTGGTTTCTCTCCTTTTTGTTGTAAAGAAAGAGGAAGGAGGGAACTTCCACCACTATAACATCTGGAGTCTGTGGAAGCAAAAAGCACGAGATGGCTACCACAACACTCACTTCGTTCATTTTATCTTTTGTTACCGTAACGAAGCTGGTGTTGTGGTCATTTCCTTTCATCTCAAGATAGTGACAAATGGAAGTTCTCTCCCCCTCACCCCTCAGAAACGAAAGAAAACTAAGCAAAGACAGTCCCCTATACAATAGAACCGTTTACTAATTTCTATTCGATTCTACGCCTTTACATTTTGGCTGCAACTTACAAACATATAGGGTTCTGCATGTTCTACAAGATTATTCCTATCGTCCTATCCCTTTTCACCATATAATTTTCAATTTTTAACAACACTTGGGTTGAGACCATCAGTGATGGTAACGAAATAAGTCTATGTTTTTGACGGCACCCCATAGAATTAATTCAATACTCTTTTCAACGATATCACACGCAGGTAAAATTATTTTGCACACTGTTTTCATGTGTGGATTTGTAACATATATAACTTTAAATGCGATTTCCGTTTGTGGTCCAAACTCTAATTAGAGTCTGATTAGCTAATAAAAGCAAAGGAACAGCATGTACCATCAGGTAATTTGGTACGAGCACATGCGGCTTTAACTGGTCCTTTCGTTAAATGGTGTACGGCGTACGTAATTTATTTCATTAAAAACTAATGTTCGTACAACGAGTTTAACATGTACTATTAGTTAAATACTTTTTTTTAATATTCTCTTTACAAGAACTTGTGTGACAATCTGCCGCCGTCTTACGTATATATGCTGTATGTGTAACGGAACAACAACAGAACGGCACATTATTCATCCACGTCCTCCACAAGTACGTTCTGAATATTCACGATTACCATTTTGGGGCAATTATTGATTTAATGTCCAGTCGAGTGTGCAACGAGAATGTACTTACAACCTTTTCCGTGTTAAAGAGACTTTATTACCTAACATATCTGCATAACTTGCGGTTGTGAAAGCAAGGCTGTCCTCCTCCTGTTTACATAGCGTTTCGACTTTTGCTATAAGCGCGGCAAACAACGGCTATCTGCCTCGATCAGGCGAATACCAGCTCGCATCATTTTATACTTACAATAATTTACAGATGTTTAAGAAACATTATAGTCAGGACGAGCGTTCGACATTTCAATACATACCTATACATATTTGGTTTGAAGTCAAACAATGTACGAGTTAATTCTACAAAAGGATTTTCTATTAACGTCGATTGAATAACCACAACAGAGAACGTGGTGAACGCCATCTATAGAAATTTGCTACTAATTATGGTTCGATAATATTTGACCACATCCTTTCACGATTCAGGATAGCGACTTGTCAAAATAAACCATGGTGTGATAATGAGATTCAAAGAGATCGAAATTTTATCATGCGGAACATTATCTCATAATTAGTAGAATATTTCTATAGATGGCATTCACCACGCCGTCTGTAGTTATTCAATAAACGCCGTTTGAAGGCAACAAGTATCGAAATTGTTTACGGTGTGCTGATGAAATCCAAAGGGACTGACTGAGACACTGACAGTTTTGACAAACTATCTACTGACTAACTTTGACTGTTAATATCAATGTTTTTCTTTCACATGATAATTAATTTAACATTTTGATATATATATTTTGTGATCCTGATCTCTTGCTATCTTGCTGAAATGATTTAACTTTTGTCTACGTGAACAATTTAATATTAGTAAGTACCAACTATTTTAGAATTAGTAACCAGCTGTTCGTAGGTTGATAGCTGCTTGTTGGATGAAGATTTGTTTGGTGTGAAGATTTAATGGTGTCTGAGAATCAGCATGTTTGAAATTGCGATCCATTCCCCATCCTTGATCAAGGATTACTGCGGTTTCTATTTAATGAGTAGATATACT